GGACCAGGGAGGATGATTCAACCACTAGATGTCGCTGAAAACAACAAATCCTACACACTGTGCCTTTAAATTAATTTGTAATGAGAAGCAGTAAAGGTGAAAAACAAACAGGGCGTTGTCGAAAACAGTTTGAACCTCTTTTTATAAAGAGAAAAGGAGATTAATGAGTTAATTCTGTAGGAATTTGCAGGTAGTTTTATGCTTCAGGTACAGGTATTATTCTGCCATAAAAAGGTCAAAGGTCATTTTATCTTTGTAACCTCCAAAATAATTGTTATAAAAGCATTAAAGGTGAAATTACCAGCCAGGCGCTGACTTCAGATCCATCATTTTRAAATCTGCACGTTGTCTTTATTAGGGGTTTGGTAAAATCAAATTGTGTGCGAGTAATTGTCAGAATTTGACACTTTGCAGTTACTTCAGTTAGCGCCAAGTGATGATGATGATAAATTCTTGTGTGAAACACATTTCCAGGTGTTTGTGAGCCCAAAGGTGTGAAGCTGAGCTGCTAATGCTAACCCTACAAACTAATCACCTGAAACACAAACATAAACTAGAAGACGAGGGAAAACCAGAAAGGCCAAGGCTGCATTATCCTGAACACAAAGAGACCACTTTGTAGTTACAACTGCGTGAAGAGGCGGAGCTGGCGGGTCTTTCAGTAAAACCCTGTGTTGTTGTTGTTGTTGTTGTTATTATTAAAACTGATGGAGAGACAGAGCAAGGACTCCRGGAGTCCTTGCTCTGTCTCTCCATCAGTTTGGGGGGGTGGGGGTGGGGGGGTCCCAGACTGACGAACAGCACAGACCCCTGATCTGTTCAGTTTTTTAGTTTGTTTACTTGTTGTGTTTAGATTTTAGGCAGCTCTGAAATCCCGTGTCTGTTTTTTATTTTCTGCTTCTCGGCTCAGATATTTGAGCGCAGGTTCTGCAGCTGAGGTCCAGTTCTCTGCATCAGTACCAGAGAGAAACTGGACYTGTTCAGAGTTTAAATGGAACCGCTCCCGTTGGCCCGACCTTTTTTAAAATAATAAATAAATATGAGACTGATGAGGTTTGCTTGTAAAGCTTTTGAATAATAAATGATCGGAGCGTCTTGTTGGTGTTAAATCCTACTTGGCAATTATGTCGGTGTCGTGTTCGTGTGACTGAGTTCAGGTCCCAAAGATAGACTTGCTGAGGTCCAGGAAGCAGCAGCAGCAGTGTGTGGTGGCTGGTTTTAGTGTTTACAGACCCCCTACAGACCCCCACACTCAGGACTCGGTCTGTTTTTATTAGAACTGAAATCTAGGATTGATACAAATGTAGCTGAACGGTTCACRTACCGACTTGTCTCCACTCAGGGTCTTCAGCCGTCTGTGATGGACTCCAGGTCTCAGAAGCTCCCCTTCTGCCTGTCCAGCCCGAGGTCCTCCTACACCGTGTCCAGCCCCTCTGTCTCGTCCACGTTGGGCTCCGGGGCTCGGCTGTACGGCAGGGAACCGGCGCTGAACCGAGACCGCCTCCCGAGGGCCTCGTCGCCGTACAAACCGGACCTGGATAAACAGGTGGGCTGCAGGTGGGGTGGACCGGAGGTCCACAGGGTTACTGAAGGATGAAAACGATGAGAGGGGAAAATCAACCAAAACAGGCTGACTGTACACTGCTCAAAAAAATAAAGGGAACACTTAAACAACGCACGCTAACTCCCGATCTTAATCAACGAAATATTTGCATTGAGTCCTTTGTTCTGTACAGAGTTGAATGTGCTTCATAAAAGTTTGATTTACTTGGACTTAGCGTGCGTTGTTTAAGTGTTCCCTTTATTTTTTGAGCAGTGTATTTTTATTTTAATGTTCTGCAGCGTTAACACTCCCTCCCTTTAGACCTCAGATCCTCTGTCAGTATCTGGTCTCTAAGGGTCCGTTTTAGCTCAGAACCTCGACCCGCCTTGCTGGTTCCTCCTCTTTAAAGTTGATTAAAGTAATAAAACTGCATTTTAATAAGATATTACTGCTTTAATGACATTAATCTTTGTTTCAATTATTTTTATTATTTACCTTCCTGCAGCAAAATAACAAACTTTCTTTTAAAAGGACAAAAAGAGGTTAAATTCATTAATTTAACTTTAAGAATAAGAGTCTGAGTGAAACATAGAAACTAAAAAGAAAACTCAATGTTTGYTTGACTCTGTTAGCAAAATATCTATAATGATCAGACGTATGTCTTAAGTTGGTTAAAGGGATCCCTGATTAGTTTTAACATTAGACTATTTGATAAACATTGATTTTAACTGTAAAATACTTTAAAAATACTGTAGGCTGTTTGGTTTTGTAAGTTTTTAAAAATATATTTTAACACGGACGGAGCCATTTTATTTCCACACAAAGCATTCTGGGTAAATGATGACGTGGATAGGTCCTCGGTGCGAGGCTGCTAGCGAGCTATATCCACCCTGAAGGTTAATCTTGGACAATATCTGATGATCGACTCTTTTAAATGAAACCAGAGAGCGTTGACAGAGAGGAGAAGGTAGAAATGACTCAGCCTGGAACTGAAAATATGGATGGAGGACAACAGAGCTGCTTCATGGAAGAACAACCTCAGCTTAGCCTGTTAGCTTTAGCGTTAGCACCAACACTATACTGCCTTATATGTATTAGCTCAGTGCTAGTGCGACAAACAAGAAACTGTTGTCCTCCATCCATATTTTCAGTTGCAGGTTGAGTCATTTCTCATTTCTATGTTTTATTAAATAAAGTCTAATGTTACAACTAAGATCCCTTTTTAAAATGGCTGATCCGAGGTGTTAGTTTAGCGTGCTACAGTAGCTGTCGGCATATATCAGCCGACACTTCAGACGTCTTTTTATAGGACGGCTTAGATTCTTGTTTATTTCAGTCCCGTGTCTCGTCCAGGTCCATTTCAGAAGACGGTGTTGGTTTTTGCCGTGACCTCGTGTGTGTGTGTGTGTGTGTGTGTGTGTGTGTGTGTGTGTGTGTGTGTTTGTCTCCTGCAGAGTTTTCGTCTCCTCGGCTCGTCCAGAGATCACGGTGGTTCTGACTCTCGCTCTCCCAGCTGGAAGCTGCCGTCTCTCTCTCCCTCCAGCAGGCGGTACGATCGGCAGTGGGCGGAGTCTCCTCTGAGCAGCCGGAGCAAAGCGGTACTGAAGAACTGTCAGCTGCAGGAATCGTCAGTTTGAGGTCGAAAAGTAAAGATGAGTTTTATTTTTGGTTGCAGACGGCGGCTGAGGGAAGGCTGGGGCTCTCCTCTGGTTTCTTGAACTCCAGCGACGATGCTGAATCAAAACGAGCCAAAGTGTCGTACAGCAGCCGAGGGCTGTACTCCAGGACCCCCGGCGCTTCGGCTGCAGGGTCCGCTTACTGCGGTGTCAGGGGTACGAAACCACCGTTGGGTAGAAAACCTGCAGTCCAGGTTCCAGCAGCATCCAGGCTGATCGATGGTTCTGTTGCTCGTTCTTTCAGAAGCTCCTGGATCCAACGAGGYCCTGGGCTCGTCCTGGACCCCGTACCGTTTGCTGTCCAGGTCCTCGTCCTCGAAGACGCTGCTGTCCTCCAGAGAGCAGGACACCAAGAACGAGACCAGCCGGTCCAGTTTGTCAGAGAGACGAGTTCGGACTCCTGGACTGACGTCCTCGCTGTGTAAGAACCTGAGTCACCCTCGCCTGTTAGCAAAATATCTCTGTAGCCAGTGACTGAAGCTCGACTTGTTCTTCTTTTCATCTTTTAACTTTCTTTGTTTTTTAGCATCAAACTCGTCTCAGTTTGTAAACAATTTCAGCAAATTAAGTTATCAAAACCTTCGGCTCGTTTGGATTCTTTTAGTATCAGTGTTTTTGAAATATTCAGCTTTTAATTTATTTGGTTTTTTTTTTTCCCTCTTTGAAATATATTATAATTCAGTAAAATCCTGTAACATCTTCCTGCTTTTTGAACTTTAACTTCAGTTTATGTCCAGCCTGAAAGGCTGTTCAGACTTTAAACAAAGCTTCAGCTGTTTAACATTTTATTTAAGTTTGTGAAAGTTTTGGTGTTTCTCTGACTGAGAGCTTTTAGTTTCTTACAGCTGATTTAAGAGCTGTTGTTTTTAGTTTCACAGCATTTGTTGAACAGTTTTGGTTTTTCCCTTTTTTAGGCTTCAATTTGAAAGTTTAAGGTTTTTATTTTTCACCAGTGACTCATTGTCAGTTTTTACTTTAACTTACGATTTATTTCTCTGAAACTTTAAACTCATTTTCAAATATTCTTTTTCCAGATAACTTTTTTTGTGCTGCTTTTCAGTAGTTTGAACAGATTTCAGCAGATTTAGTTCCTGTTCAGCCTCTTTTTTTGCTGATTTTAAACCTTTTCTCCTTTTTTTTAGTCAAAATTATTCTTCATCCAGAATTTTCTTTTTGTTTTTCTGCTTCCCACTTTCACTTTAAAATCAACTCACATCAATGGTTCTGTTTTATTTTAGCTTATGTTCAGTTTCTTCGGCCGTTTTTTTTTTTTAACCAGGAAATTCAGTTGATTTTTAAAAAAGTTTTCTGGTTTCAGATCAAACGGACCGGGTGACGTCGACGTACGCACAAGGAGCTCGCCCTAAAGAGACGACCTCCTCCTTGTCCAGGGAAAGCTCTCTGAATCGGACCTTCCTCTCCTCCTCCTCCTCTTCCTCCTCCTACTCCTCCTCCTCACAGCGTTCGGCTCCTCGATCTCGTGACTTCAGCGGTGGACCCTCGTCTCGTTTCAGGAGCGGCTCGTCTCTTCTCTCATCTCAGGAACAAACCCGCAGCCCSGACTCCTCCTCCTCTTCCTCTCGTGCCCACTCGTACTCCACGCCGGTGGTCCGGGCCCCGCCCACGAGGTCGACCCCCRCCGTCGGGGAGCTGGAGGGCCGCGGCTCCACGCGCCGCCTCCTGTCCCGCCTCTTCTCGCGGCGGTCCAGCCAGGACTCGTCCAGCGGGTCGTCCCGCTCCCAGGAGGACGACTCTCCGTCCACCAGCGGGGACTCTGTGGACAGCGAGGATGGAGCCAGGACCGCCCACGTCCCGGAGACCACCTCGGACCGGGCCAACCTGTCCCCGATCCAGGACCACGGGTACCGGAGCGCGGGGCGGTGTGGAGCGGCCTCGTGGAGAGAACCTGCGGTCGGAGGAGGAGGAGGAGGAGGAAGAAGCTGGTTGTCTTCATCACTCCGAGGTCGCTGCCCCCCCCTCCTGTCCCGCCTCAGGCGATACGCCCGAGGGGACACCGCCGCGGCCACGCCCRTCCCCGAGGACCGCCACCCACAGCGCTTACATCACTGGTGGGAGGAGCCTGAGGAGGATGATGAAGACGACGATGATGAAGACGACGACGAAGAGGAAGGAGCGGCTGGTGTGGACTCGGTCTGTGCCGGTCCAGATCACAGATTTAAACCTCTTCCTGAGCTAGAAGACCCCTTCCCTTCGTTCTCACCGCGCCGCAGAGTCGACAGGTTYGAGCTCCAGGACCAGAACCAGAACCAGAGCAAGATGCCGGAGTCCAGCAGGAACCAGGAGAAGCTGCGCAGGATCAAAGAGAAGTAATTAACTGTCCACTTCTCTGTCCTGCACTCAGACGCTCCCGTCAACGTCTTCCTGTCCCCCCAGGCTGCTGCTGGAGGACTCTGACGAGGAGGGGGACCTGTGCCGGATCTGTCAGATAAGGGAGGACGGGTCCTCGTCCAACCCCCTGATCCAGCCGTGCCGCTGCACCGGCAGCCTGCAGTACGTCCATCAGGACTGCATCACCAGGTGGCTCCGCTCCAAGATCTCCTCAGGTGCAGCCGAGCGAGAAGGTCCTGGTTTCAGGTCCGGGTTTCAGGTCCTGTTCTGACTCTCCTCTGATCCTTCAGGCTCGAACCTGGAGGCCATCACCACCTGTGAACTCTGCAAGGACAAGCTGCGCCTCAACATCGACAACTTCGACATCAACGAGTTGTACTGGGAGCACGAGCAGGTCAGATTAAAGGGGGGCGGTCTTTAATGGACTTTTTTATTTTAAATCTTTATCATGTTTTATCATTTCCCTCATCAAAAACATCCTCAGACTTGCTTTGACTCATTCATGCAYGTTGGAGAAATYTCTGAATCTCCTGTGGTGGGCGGAGCTTTGTACCAGCGAGCATTTAGGCAGCTCCACATGGCTTTGTACCTAGCTCCTCCCTGGAGCTTAGTCTGCAGCCRAGCTCCGCCCCACAGATTTCCCCTCCCCCTCAAGCTTTGTTGTAAAGAAGTGCTGAAGAGGGATTGTCAGAAACAGTAGGAGGTTCTTAAAGAGACAGAGGCCAGTTTTAAAAAGAACCGACCAGAGAGGCTGTGAGGTCCAGTTGTTTGCTTAAAAATATTCCTAAAATCTTAGWTCTCAGGATCATGGTCCAAATTTATTTATTTATTCTGTCTGTCTTTTTCTTTCTTTCTTGTGTTGTGTAGTATGAGGGCCAAAATTAAGACTATTGTGTAACCAGTGGGCGATGCATCCTTGTAGCCGGAGTTATATCTGTTCCTAAACCAGCTATTGATCTGATTAATGACAGAACGACACCGATAACTGAGCAGCTGGTCCTACTAACTGAGGCTGGAGCTGGCAAATGAGAAGGAGACTATTCATTTGTGTTAGCATCAGAGAAGCTAGCTACTAGCATGTAAGTTGGTGTTAGCATCAGAGCGGCTAGCGCCTCGCATGGATAAGCTGGTGTTGGCATCAAATAGGCTAGCTACTAGCATGTTAAGTTGGTGTTAGCATCAGAGAGCCTTGCGACTAGCACGGATAAGCTGGTGTTAGCATCAGAGAGCCTAGCGACTAGCATGTTAAGTTGGTGTTAGCATCAGAGAGATTAGCTACTAGCATGTATAAGCTGGTGTTAGCATCAGAGAGGCTAGCGACTCGCATGGATAAGCTGGTGTTAGCATCAGAGAGACTAAATACTAGCATGGATAAGCTGGTGTTAGCATCAGAGAGACTAAATACTAGCATGGATAAGCTGGTGTTAGCATCAGAGAGACTAAATACTAGCATGGATAAGCTGGTGTTAGCATCAGAGAGACTAAATACTAGCATGGATAAGCTGGTGTTAGCATCAGAGAGGCTAGCGACTAGCATGTTAAGTTGGTGTTAGCATCAGAGAGGCTAGCGACTAGCATGTTAAGTTGGTGTTAGCATCAGAGAGGCTAGCGACTAGCATGTTAAGTTGGTGTTAGCATCAGAGAGGCTAGCGACTAGCATGGATAACCTGGTGTTAGCATCAGAGAGGCTAGCGACTAGCATGGATAAGCTGGCGTTAGCATCAGAGAGGATGTAGCAACCTCTATTTGCACAGTAATCTTAATTTTGGTCCACGTACTGCACCATATTCTTGGACCCAGAATCGTGGTCTAGTTTTTGAATTCTTCCTGGTTTAGTTTAAAAACTGTAGTTTTTTTTTTWAAACGTATTTATAGTTTTAGTTCAGAATGTGTTTTTCGCTCTAGTCTGTCAGATGTTTTAGTTTAAGGAGTCGTTCTTGTTGGTTCTGAGAACTCGTTTTTCTTTCCACAGTCTGAGTACGACGAGCTGATCAGCAGCGGACTCTACCTGGTGGTTTTGCTTCATTTCTACGAGCAAAGGTTCTCCGACGTCCTCCGAGTGGTGGACACAGCCGGGGTGAGAGAACTCTGAATGTTGGGCGTGAATCCTTCAGGTTTCTCTTCAGTTCACGGCTGAAATAAAAGGATGTTTAAATGTCAGGATTCATAAACGTGAATCTGTCAGAGTTTAATGTTTAAAAACACATATTTCCCCTCTCAGCAGTTTTTCAACCTGGCAAGATCTCTTCATGAATACATGGACAATCTGGAAAGTACGTTGTTCAGTTTTACATTTTTAAAGTTGTTTTTTGTTTCATTTTAACGCCTGAACAGAATTAAAAAACTTTAAATAATAACCTGACKGTTGCCTGCAGCTCCTGACGGGGAAAGTGACGACGAGCGGCGAGACGGCCGACCCTCCGTCGACTTCTCYGACCTGGACGACGACCCGGAGGAGGAGTACTGACGGCGAGAAGCAGGAAGTGGGTCACATGATGTCAGCTTTTATTTTAAAGTTTTTCTTCTGCACACGCTTTGGTGTCGTTCCGCTGCAGAGCGCACCTCGTTCTGCAGATATGCAAACTTTGATTGATTTAACGTAAAAACATGTCTATAAAAAGCACTTTCTGTCCTGATTCGTGCACCTTATTTACCGACAAATAATTTAAAGATGCTAATCTGTCCAGCTGTTCCACCACAAGTGCTTTAAAGGTTAAATGAGGACAATAACAAGTGAAATGTTATTTAATTATGGAAAATCAAGTTTTTGGTTCAAATTCAAATCTGATGGATTTTTTTTTTTTTTTTTTGAAATGTTCAAATTTAAAAAAAGTCCATGTAACCCTGTCAGCACATTTTGTCTCATAAAAGCTTTGTTTAAAAATTTGGTTTTATGCTTTTAGGTTTTGAAATAAAGATGGTTTGAAAACTGATTTTTAAGCTGGTTTCCTTTTTGATTTCAAAATTCAAGTTTGTTCTGAATTCACTTCAGTTCTGATCAGTTRGTCTGATCTTTCTGATCATTCTTCAAATTATTTTCTTTTTTTCCTCAAACCAAGACGGCTGTTTTTGAATCCCCTTGGAGCTTATTTTCTGTCAAAGTAATTATTAAAATGCAGAGTCTCAATCAGGGGTCTCCAACCTGAGCTCATTTAAAGCAGCTCTTTAGTGCTTCTGAAAAATTAGGAGAATCCATCCATCCATCCATTTTCTTCCACCTATCCGGGGTCGGGT